ACAGGAGAGATCTGCTGGGCCATGGCCAAGGATGAAACTCCAGCTAAAGTGGCTGTGGTTAGCTTCACAGTGCTGTGCTTCAGCCAGTTGTGCCACCAGGGAGGGCCCTAAAATTTTTTATTCATTGCTGACTTTTCACAATTTTACTTTTATGTGCCTTGGTGTAGGTATTGTTGCATTTACATAATTTGGTGTTCTATGGGCTTTATGAATTTGTATATTCAACTTTTCCCCCAAGTTTGAGTGAGAAAATGAAAAGAAATGCAAATACTCTTATGTGAATCACAGACACAGTTATGCTAAAAAGGCCAATTAATATTCAACTCTAAAAAAAAGACTGCCATTAAAGTTTTATCTTGGATAAAGTTTACCATTATTTTATTAAGTAGCTTCAATAACGAGGTGGTTCGACTAAATTAAGACAAAGACAATGCATTTATCCATTTTGTTGCATGTAAGCTGGTGTCTTACCCCACTGGGTAATTGTACTTTTCTCTCAAAGGTGGAAATCTCTTTTCTTGCTCAGCCACACTGTCCTGAGGACTGAGGAAAACTATGTGAACACTCAACACAGAAGGAACAGCACATGATGTTCATTCTTCAAGTCTGACAGAGCTGTAACAAGAGCATTGTTCTAATCAACTTCAACAAATCTTCAGAGCACCAAGTGATTTTTATCTCTTGCTGCAATTAACGCTGCCCACAGACTTCACATATTATCTGTTATAATTCAACCTAAACAAAACTCACTCCCCTTTTGATAAAAGTCCTTTTTCCCAGAGCAAATGATTTCCAACCCCAACATATATCATGGTAACATTAAAACACATATAAAATGGTCACTTAAAGCTTGCAATGCATGCATGTATGCAAGAATGCTATCTAAGTCCTCTGTTTTCAGAATTTCACTCTCATAATTCCTGAAGCTTCAAAATTAAGGTGGATAGAGGGTCAAAGAGTGATTTTCTTCTATTTTACATTCTAAGTTTCATACTACGTTAAAAATACTATTTCTTTAAAAATGGTGCATTCATTTCCACATTAAGACCCTGCAGACATTTTCAGGGATGGTTCCTATCTCTCTATGGCTTTTACTTTTTCCCAAAACAATTTCTTGTAAGACTAATGAATTTAAACTTAGAATACAAGAGAACAAAAGACTCATATCTAACCAGTCACTTAACCATTTTATTTTTCACAGCTGCCATCAGAGAAAGGAGACAAAAGGAAATGTGCAGACATAATATACAAATAGCATAATTGACTAAATTTTCTTATCAACAGTTTTGTGGGTCTAAAAAGGGATATGGTGAAAGTATTTACTAGGAAATAGTCTAGACTTATCAGCAGATTGCTATAAGCACAGATATGTCAGTACTGAATTTCATATTTTCCCTACTCCAGTCTTTACGCACATATTCTACCTTGAATGCTTTTTCTTCCTTATTCTGAAAAGTCTACCAAGAAGTCTCCATGGCCATTTCAAACATCACTCACTAGTGAAGTCATAGGCCAAAATGCCAATGCCAACCTAGTCCTTTTTCTATATTCCAAAAGCCACTTAAATACTTTGCATTATAATGAATAATCCATGCCCATTTACACACCTCCTCACTACCATCACTAGGGTTAAAGAACCACTGCGTTACAAAGAGTATATGCGCATGTATAGCAAAATGGTATGTCAGTGAGCCTACATGATCTCATATACAGAAAAAAATATCAGAAGTCAAAGTCAGAAAAATGCAACATATTTTTTAATGGAAAAGTATGTGGTCATTAAAATATGTTTACCAAAAGTTTTGGGTAAGTTCTTATACAATGTTAGGTAAAAAACCAAAAAGTTAAATTGCACATATTTTTACTTCAACTATAAATAAAATGCATCCTACTTTAAAGAGAATAGAAAACAATGCAACAAAGTATTAATCACTGTTTCACATTCATAAAGTGATTAAATATATTTAACTTTCTGAGGGAAAGGCAACCTTCCATAGGTACCTGCTATTTGCTAGGCACTACTCTAATGTACAAAACATAGTGCAATGAAGTTGGCACATAATAAATTAATTGAGTAACATGTTAGAATGTGATAAGCACTATGAAAACAAAGTTTAAGAAGAATCAGGAATGTATGTGGGGGGGAGGATTACAACTTTAAATTGGCTCAGCAAGGTAAGTGACACTGAGCAGATAATATTTTAACAAAAATGGGCAAAAGATGTGAATGATTAATTATAAGTACTCAAAAGAATCAGAAATGTTTAATAGCAAAGGAAAAATGTTTTACTGCAAAAGAACATAATTTCTCTAGTAAACTGACCAAAAATGTTAAGAATCAAATGTTATACAGCAGGATAAATACTTATTGGGAGCATAAATTGGTAGAGAACTTAAAGAAGACAATATAATTCCTAAATTATATCATAACCAGAGCTGAATTTCATGTGGACAAAAGACTTAAATGTGAAATGCAAAAATAAGATATTAAAACATAAAAATTATAATAGAAAAAAATATTAATATATACATGAACCAATGTAAAGATTTAAGATTCAAAGAACGCATCTAAGAAAAAATGATGAATTTGACACTATTCAACAAATAACACCACAGACATTAACTGACTTGAAAAAAATAACTAACATCTAAAACCAATAATGGATTTATGTCTATGATATATGGGGAACATTTACACATCAAGAAGAAACCAAGAAAAATCTATAGCTAGACAAAGAACAATAATTCCCTGAATAGAAAGCCTCACTGGCTAACAACTAATGAATAGATGTTCAAACTCACTACTAACCAGGGTAAGTTTCAGCACTAAGAAGACAATTAATACAATTAGATTTATAAAAAAATCAAAAGAAGTAAATGCCCAGTGTTAGTAAAGCTAATAGAAAAAACAGAGGTTGTGTGTGCTGATAATAGATCTTGCCCAAAACAACCTAGCACTATTTAGCTCTATTGACTATTTGTCCTAAGACACAATTCCAGGCCTCACTAGTTATCAGAGGTGAATTTATTCTTATAGGTCCATTTTTCCCTATAAATACATGGTTGCTCACTGTCGTGCACTTCACATCACAGAAAAATGGAGCCTGAATGTCCAAGAGAAGGGAAATAAAATAGCAGCTAAAACTAGATGTTCCAGCTAACATGACAAATGGCACGCACATGATAGCAACCTAGACAGAGATCTTCAAGGCATCATTACGAGTGAGGAAAGTAAGAAGTACATATAGAACTATAGAAATCATGAAAATTAAAAACATAAACACTCACAAAGCCCCTAGAAATATGAAAGTATATTCGTAGTATGTTAGAATAGGTTTCTATCAGGAGGAAGGGAAGAAAAAAACATAAAATAAAACAAAAGAAGGTATGAGTTGGCGTTAATAATATGCTTTACCTATGAAGTAATTCATATTCAATGATTTGTCCCTAATAGCTACAAAAAAGAGGAAAATTAAAACTGCCCCATATTAATCTCAGAAATTAATATAATCCCAGTTAATATAAAATTTTTGAAGATAAATCAAATACTAAGTTTAACTTGAAATGATAAGCAAGAATAAGCATTAAAATTTTTCATAAAAAGAAAGGCAGAATTTATTCTGACACTTATAAAAACAAAATAGCACAAACATAAATGTCTACAATAATTAACAGAAGACATATGGGTTGCACACTGAAAGCATAACCGAGGAAAGACTTCAGAAGCGGCCTGCACTGAGTTCAGCGTGTGCACAAGTCAGCCTCTCTGTGACGACTCAGCCTTTGACCTGGCCTCAGAGCCCCGTTCTCCTGCATCACCCTCCAACTTAAAAAGACATCCACGGGACAGTCAGAACATCAAGGCACAGATCAACGCTAGCAGCTTGACTTATACAGTTTTAGTAATAACCAAAAACTTCAAAAGAAAGTTAGATTCACTCAAAATCATTCAAACTTGAGGTCTGTACGTGGTTATCCTCTACAGCTGTAAAGACCTGCCCAGACTCATTATCTTCTATAATGCCACAGTCGGAGGAGACTCTCAGTTTGGGCTGTTGTATGTAGACTTACCCAGTGTGGAGCCCTTTGGATTCTCCCCACCCATTTTCTCCATCCTGTGGATCCCTCTATTTATAAGTTGCTTTCATCCAACTAAAAAAATTAAAAATCACCAACACCTCTCCCAGCCAAATCCTGAACATCTGCAGTCATCCAGAGGAGGAGGGGAATGTGACGCTCCGTTAGTGAACAAGGTTCCCTGAGAGGAAGGTGATATGCTTTAGTTAGAAAACATGTAAAATTATAATAAAATACAAGGTTTGAACGATACTGAGGAAGTATTACAGTACTTGGTAAAGTGGCACTTGAAATGCTGGTGGGATTTGAGGTAGGTTTTTAGACCAGGCCCCACAGAAGCGCAGATGGAACAGAAAGAATGGATAATGATAACAAAGACCTAAATGTGGAGAAAGACGAGCAGAGCCGTAGGGAAACAACACTGGGAAAATTAATTTTAGGCAAATGGCGAGGATGTAAACAAAAAATAAAGAAGTGGAAATGCAACATGAGAGGAATTTACAGGAAAAGTAGTGGTAAAGAATCCAACTAAGAAGTAACAAAATAAAACAGCTATAATAGCTTAAACTATGTGAACATTTGGGAAAAATACTAAGCCATTTAAATTTTAGTTCAGCAACCCAACACAAACCAAAATAAACTGAAAACAATATTAATACATTTTAATTTTGGAAAAATAGCTTTAGAACAAACTACTGCAGTTTACTGTTAATTTAGACTATAATTAACTAGTCTCTATTCTTATTCATTTAGTTACATATTAATGATGCACATTATCTTTTAAGATATTTTTATCTGAATGATACTAGTTTAATATTTTAGGAGACTTCTTTCACTCAAACTAAAATATAGTGTTATAAATCATCCACTAAATAATTCTTATATATGAACCATAAGTTACATAAATGAGAAAGAAGAACAAGTCATCTGATGTCCTTGGTGGCATTGCTGATGGTCATCATTTGAAGAGCTTTTCTATTTTTAGAAAATACCTCATCACACGAGCTCCACTTGCCCAACAGCGGAGTCAGAATACAAAACCCAGTCTTCTGAGCATACAGGCAGGTGACTTGGACTCGCAAAGCTCGGATGAGGTATCCGCAAGTCGAGAAAGCAGGCTGTGTGTGGAAGGCTCCCCCCAGGCCCACAAAGGAGTGGGTCTGAGCTCCGGTCTGGGCTCCAGCTGCAGGAGAACCAACAGGCTGGTTCCACTCCACTGGTAATTCAATTCCCAGTGAAAACTGCTCATTCACTAACGCAGCATTAATAAATCAACTTCCTCTAAAGCACCATCCACTGGACAATAACAAGTAGTGATATTATCACCAGGTCAGGAATGATAGGTCATTTATTTTCCTCACTTCCAGGCATCCCAATATTTCTGCGAACTTCATCACATCTCACAAAACTCCATTTCTGCTTAATCCAAATTCGTTTCAGGCTGGTGCTGAAGGATCCACCCACAGCCAGAATATGGCTGGAAAGACACACAGTGAGGAAATCTCTAAGTTACCTAGGTGGTCATGGGACAGGAAATGCCCATCATGGTCAAGAGCCATCAGTAATGAATCCATAATAACTGACGTGGACATCTTTAAAACCACCGCAAGGTGCTAGAGTCTCTCCTGAAGGGGAGGTTGACAAACCAGAACAAATGCTGAAGTAGCTAAAAGGAAAAGTAAAATTTTATCTCAATGATTTCTTAGTTTCCTAGTAAGGAATCACTGAGCTTAAAGTTTATAAGGGAATTGGGGCAATAATTGCAAATGATGATTTCCCCTACCACTGGAATGGAGATAACAGGAGATCCAAGTGACACAAATTATTCCATCCCCTAAATCCAGTATTGCTTGCCAAAAAGCAACCCATTCTCTCCTGATTTACGGTGCTCTTCTTAATTTGTTCAGAGAACAAGGTCCATTGTGGATGGCTCCTGAAACAGTTATTCTATAGGGAAAATAATTCTCCTCAAACCCCCAGCTGCAACCTGACCTGCAACCAGAATGAAGCCCCCTTTCCACAGAGAGCCATTTGGAAAAGTCAACCCTACGGGAAAGCATCCTCATGAAATGAACTGCATGACTGCTTATTTTAACATCAAAAAATGGGACCATGTCTGGGAATAGATGGTGAAGGTTCTAGGCCAAGAAAAAGCTAATAATTTTAAATTGAGAAGAATTTATCAATATAAGCTTACTTACTAAAGATTCTGAATTTGATGTATTGGCTTGAACAGCTGGAGTGGTTCTAATTTTGTGTTTACTTGGTTGACTGAACCCTGTTCTCAAGAAAACTATTTTAAATGAAGTTGAAATGTCAGAAAATTCTTGGTATAATATACACTGGAAGGAATCAAAAGAATTGGGAAGACAGGAATGCTGGAGTGAATATATTATGAATGACCTACTCACTCATCCTGTGTCCCCAAGAGAAACTAGAGGAAACTTACGCATGGGTTTTAAAATATATCACTAGAAAGGAATGGCAACATCTCTGATAAGTGCCATAGTTTCTGTTCTCTGTTGCACAGGATGCTGGTGATGATGCCACAGGTGATATGGGACCACAGTCCCCCGGGGTGACCAGATGGCAGGATGGTATAAGCCCAGATTCACCTGGAACAAAGAGGTCACAGGTATTGCCAGAGAAGCAAAGAGATGTTCTAAGTAGCAGTGACCACTGGTGTTAGGTAACTGGCCAGAGGACTGGGATGAGTGACCAGCTTTAGAAGGTTCTCCATGATTTGCTAATTCAAAAACCTCTGGTTTTCTGGTAGCACAGAGGATGAAGAAACACCCCAGTGCTACTCCCTTCCCACCTTCTGATTTCCTGTCAGTGCATCCCACTGGCTGAACCTAACCAAAGGCCACAGGGCAGAACTGCTTACTGATGCCATGCTCAAAGGTCACGCTCAAAGGTCACACTCCGGGAAACAGCAGGTTGATGCAGGAGTGGAGAGTAAATTTTGAGGCTGGGGGGGGTGGACAGAAAATACCTAGCACACTCTGATAGCTACAGCTGTTAGTAACCATGTTAGCCCTTTGCCAGGCTTCAAGGACATGGTGTCAAGGTTAAGGTGTCACAGTACTACAGACTAATGTTACATAAATTCAAACAAAAAGTCAAGAACTACACTATTTGAAAATGCCGCAAAGATGCACCACTGACAAAGCAGCAGCACAGAGTTCTGTAGGTTTCTAAACAATAGTATGTAAGGTTGAAGAGGGTGTGGGATGTGCATTCCTGTTCATTCTCTCTATACAATGTCTTCCTGCTTCAGTCAACAGCGCCTACATCCTCAGCGATCTGGGAGTGAAATGCAAGAATTTCAAAATCAAATTAGTTTTCTAAAGTCTGTACATAGTCAAGCAAAAGAAAAACTTTAAATCACCCTTGATTCTTTCTCCTGACCATCTCAAACCTAATCCATCAGCAAGTCTTGATGCTGTCACTTCCAAAATCTCTCCTCCACATGCTTTTCCTCCATATTTACCACACCTTCTGCAATCTATCACCATTGATCACACCATCTTTTAAAAGAGGGGAAAAGTCTCAACTCCCTGACCTTGCAGTGAGGCTGTGAACCACTGCGCTGATTTTTCCTAACAGTGATCACCATTTTCCACAATCCTGGTGCCCCTTGATGGTTTCTTTATTGTCTGTCCCCTCATAGGTGGTAAGCCCATGAGTGATGAGTTGACTATTTTTAGCTGTTCTCCGGGACCTAGCGACAGTGTCTACAGAGCAGGTACTCAATCAATTTTTGACAAATAAGTGAATCATAAAGCACTCTTCAACACTGGCTTCACAAATAAAGCATCTATATTCGACGAATTTGTGTGTTCCAGTTTTGTGTGTGTTCCATGCAGATTAATAACCAGGGTTACTTAGGAGCTACTTCTTCTTTTGCTTACTCCTCCAAGGCTGCTCACTAAGTCTACTGTTGTCCAATTTGTGCCTAATTTTCAAAAAATAACCTCGACTAAATGCCAGCCATAAGAAGATGGGCACCACTTCCATTTAAGAGGTTTATATGACGATTCTCTCCAGCTTGCCACTTGCCCAATAGGCTGTTTGGTTCTGAGCTTTACAAAGGCAAGAATTTCAAAGACCAAATTAGTTTTCCAAGGTCTTTACTATAGAATGACAGAAAATGAAGGACTATATGTTTCTACAAAAACAAAATTGAAAGATTCAACAAAAAATTTGTTCATTTACTAAGTGCCCTCTCTCAGACACTGAGGAAACAAGGCGCCTTCCAGATCAGAGGGACTCAGGTCTGTGCAACATAAAGACCTACTGAGGCAGGCACAGTGTAAATGGCGCGAGATGTATGAGTAGGCATAAAATATTAACAAAAGCCTGAGAACACGAAAGAGGGGCTACATGACTTTTGTTCAGGAAAATTAGGGAGGCCAGTTACACCTGCGCCCAGCAATCTGGTCCCGAGAGGCAGGAGCTGCGCAGCCCTGGTCGCCGGGCACTCTGCAGACTCTGAAGCTTGCCCTGCAGGAATGCAGTCTTTGACAGACGTGGGCAGGTCATCTTTGTTTAGGTACAACAGTTTGACAGTTTTATAAAAGGCCAATGGGACAGAAAAGAGAGCAGCAGCAGAGAAATCAGTTGAAAGGTGACTGCCATTTGCAGAGGGTAAAAGAGAACTAGAGCACAGCTCACCAGTGCTGAGGAGACAGGGGAACAAAAGGCAAGTCTTGCTCCTACTGTTTAGATCAAATAGCAGAGAACCCAAATGGTTCTGCAGGGCCCTAAACAGGCCTTACATTTTTCTTCTAGTACAGCCAAAGAAGACTAACTTTTTTTGTTATCTCTTTAAGTAAATGAAACCCAGTGAGGAAAAAACAGAAAAATTATTTCAAATTGCTTTCTGGGCCCTTTTTTTTCACATGAGGAAATCATATTGACTAAGAACTTCATAGAGAAAACACTTATTGCTTTAGGTATCTCATATATAACAGAAGTACTCTCCAATTTGCATTGCACTCAGAAAAAAATGATACCAAAAATAAAGGGGCTTTTGGTAATAAACTCAGCTTATTCCTCCATTCCTTTAGGAAAGAACCAGCAGGACCCAAGACACCTCCTCAGTTAGAAAAATCCTTCAGAACAACCTTGTTGCTCATTAGTCTCTAGCACGGGTTTCCTGCCCGTGACACACACCATCACTCTGCTGACATAGGGAGCACACTTTAGTGGCACCTGTTTTAACCAGAGTTATTTTTCCTTTTTAAAATCTTCTCTTCTTGACCCTTTTCCCACTAAAACCAGCACCTGAACTCCTGAAAGCCAATCATACAACATGACCCACACTTCCCAACACATTCTGACTTTCTCCAACAGCCTGTGCTGGCTCGGCCTTACCCGACCACAGAATTGAGTCAGGGCCCTGATCTTCGGGTGGGCTCTGAATGACGTCTGAATGAATCACAGCCTAATTCCTTCACACTAGACACACTAATCACACCGAACCCTCCTGAAAATAGGTAATATCTCTAACAAGTAAATTATTAGCAATATACAGAGGGGAACATCGAAACATTTTGTTTAAGCATTTTTTTATGATTACTTCTCAGATTAGCTCTTATATAAACTCAGTACTAGGTCTCCATCTGGTGGCCAAAATTTCAACTTTTAAATTCTAAGGGATACCATTACTTTTCAGTTCACCTTCCAATAAGAGTGAATTACAAAAGATACAATGAATTATCCTTTAAAATGCATAAGTTCATTCAATTAATATGATTATAAGTCTGATGATACACAAATTAAATCCATACCTAAAAAATCAAGTCTGGCAGTCTTCAGAACCAACCTTGCAGGGGAGAGAAAGAAATATGTTCTGAATTGAACACAGAAAACCCTACTGTAATGAGAAATTGCATTTACCATTCTTTACTCAGCAAATATTTATTGGGGACATATTACAAGCCAGCACCCAACCTAAGGGCAGGGCTATGCAGTGAGCCAAACAAGTTTCAATTTGTCACAAAATAATGAAGAATAAGGAGACAGTTACAAAGAACATGTTACTTTATAGAGCATGGCCAGGCCTGGCCTCTATAATAAAGCAGGATTTAAATAAAAGACTTGAACAAAGTGAGAAATTTAAGTTTTCCTAGGCAAAAGCATTGTGGACTGAAGAATGGTGGTAGAAATGGACTGCGGCAAAAAATACATTTAGAGATCAGCACCTGGGAG